TCTGTAGGTAGGATGTTACACTGGAGGCTTCTGAATGGAATAGCTGCAGGTATGATGAACCAGAAAGTAGGAGGATAAACCAGGACATTGACAGGTTGGCGGCTACACAGGCAGATGAATCCAAGGTTGGCCGGGCAGGCTTGTGGCTTCGGAGTCCAGTAAAGCCAAGATTGGCAGGTCAAATGGCAGGCTGCTGATTGCTCCTAGAGTTGACAGACGATATAGCTGGCCCGTGGTTCAGACCCCAAGAATCAGCGGTCCATGGGTCAGATGCAGAATAGGAAACCAGCAGGAAGCAAAGTAGCTTCCCCACAGTGGCCACTTCTATAGGAATTAAGCCAAACCCACAAGGAAATGTCCTTTCAATTACGTCAGGGCTTTATCTGAGTAAGCATTTCCGCCTGATCTTACATCTGACTAGTTGATTGTATCGTTTTAAGTAATGTGGGGATCACTGGGCCTAAACTGCCAAACCACCATTTGACTAAGTCAAATGAAATCTCACGATCACAACTGGAGGCTGGGAGGCCACAGGCAGAGGTCTACCCAGCCGAGAGGCATTCGCATGGCCAAACAGAGGCCTGTTGAGGGCATCAAGAGGAGGCCTGCACAGTCTAGAGGGGGCATGCATGGCAAAGGGTCAGCTTGTTTGCATGGTCAAGAGGCGCTGAGAGAGCTGTCCTACACGGAAGAGGGGATGTGTTCTTCACTTCAGGGGAGCCTCTCAGACTTTCCTACACACTTCCTGATTCAGATGCAGAGGTAAAGCCTGTTACTTACTTAACCCATTTAGCTGCAAGCATAGCCTATGAGTTCCAGGTGGTCATTGCAAGGAACTAGCAAGCCCAGCAGAGAAGTGGAACGCCATAGGGAGCACAGCTGGTGTACGATTTTGGAAAAAAGGGTGAAGGGTGAAGGTAGATCTGACCATCTCGTGAATCAGCTTTGTGTTGGTCTCCGTTCTCATTCCCTCTAAAATTCAAAGACTAATAGGGCTGTAATCACCTTGCACACATAAAATTCAGAATGAACAGGATAATGAGCCCCCATATACACATTATCCAGATTCGAGAATAATAAGATTATTTTAACTGGTGATTCATGGGTCTATGTTTCACTCCTGGAGTCTTTCAAAGGAGCCAGGCTCTGCAGTGATTAAGTGACGGCTGCTAACACAAAGTTCGGTGGGGTGAGCCCTAGGCCGCTCCAAAGAGCCTGTGGCAGCAAATTGACTGCACCTGTGGGAAGAGACGGTGGAGACGCTCACGGTCAGCAGCTGAAGAAAATGAAAGCAAGCCCATGACCAAAGCCAACATACGACCTTCAGTATATCCCACCTGAGTTCTGAGAGCATGCAAAGAACAGATTTGATGAGCCCCAATAAATTGATTAAAAAAAAAAGAAATTAAAAACACAAGAAAGACAAAAAACAAAACCAAACAGATTTGATTCATTGAGCCAGTATCATTAAAATCACATGCAAGTAAAGTTGTGCTGCCGATCAGTCAACAATGGTTGCACCTGGGTTTCGGCAGTGAGCCTCCAGATAGCCACGCTTGACTCAGAAGAGGACATGGAACCAGGGATCTAATTGCTGACATCAGGTGGATCTTGACCCAAAGCAGAGGATACAGAGAGGTGTTTACTTGTGTTTGCTTGACTGGGCAAAGCACTGAGTGGTGCGGCTCGCTATGGATAGCACTGAGAAGAATGGGGATTCCGGAGCACTTCATTGTGTTCATGCGGAACCTGTACGCGGACCAGGAGACAGCCGTTCAAGCAAAGCAAGGGGGTTCTGCGTGTTTTAGGGTTAGGAGAGGTGTGCGTCTGGGTTCTGGGCCACATCCTGGACCTCTGCCATCACTTCCAGAGCCTCTGGACCACTAAGCATCTCACTGAGCCCAAGCATTCCTCCCATCCCAGGCATGCCCCCGAGAAAGCAGCATGCTGAGCTCCTGAGCCGCCTCCAGCTTCATCCTCCCTCCTGGTCTTCCCACGATCTCCTGCTCAGACTTTCTCTGATGTTATGCAGTTTGGGGGGCCCTCAGCTGAACTTCTTTCAGCACTGCACTAGCATCTTCATCACAGTCCAGTTTACAAGCAAGGGCAAGGTCACGTGCGGCATCTTCCCAATGGCCCCAAAGTCTGTGTGCCTTTGCCGCATCGGGATTCGTTTCAATGGCTCTGTCAGTCTCACGGTCCCGGATGGCAGCATTCGGCCTCTGTAGCTTGGTGGAGACACTGGCTCTCCTGGCAGATAGAATGGCCAGGCGAGGATTCCGTTTGATGGCATCAGTGAATGGATCCATAGCTTCCTGTGGTTCACCATCACTCAGGGCATTGATGGCAGCTGCTGTTATCGCTACAATTTCATCTCCCATTAATTAATTGAGGGGCATCTATATCTGGCTCAGTCACACCTTCCTTGTCAAATTTTAGGTCCCTTTCCTTACCTGATGGCTCATCTGTCTTTGCGTTTCCCTCCATCTTATCATCTTTTTCTCTTCCTTGGTACTTTCTTCTGACTTGGCTTTATGGCTGCCACCCATGCTCTCCACCCAGTTCCTCCCTCAGGAAGCGCATTTCCTCGATGTGCAGGACCCTCAGGTCCGGCTTACACATTTTCACGGAGGCCTGTAGCTCTCTCAGCTTGCAGGGATCAATGGGCTTAAACTTGAGGATAATTGTGAGGACCCACAGTGCTTCGTTCTGGTGTACACAGGGTAAGTTGGAACCACCGTGGCAGCACCTGACAAACAGTATGTGTTTTATAGGCAGGGAGGGAGGACTGTAGGGGGTGATGGTGCAGGAAATAATAAGAAACATACAACTATGACCAAGAAATTAAGAAATTAAAAATTCTTTGGCATAGAGGTCAGCAGTTTGAAATCACCAGCTGTTCTTCAGGAGAAAGATGGGACTTTAAACTCCAGTAAAAAGTTAGTCTCAGAAACTCACAGGGGCAGTTCTACTCTAACTGCAAGGTTAGCAGTTCAAAACCGCCAGCCGCTCCAAGAGAGTAAGATGAGGCTTTTTATTCCCATAAAGAGTTGCAGTCTCAGAAGCCCACAGGGGCAGTTCTACTCTGCCCCATAGGGTCACTATGAGTTGGCATCGACTTGACGACAGTGAGTTTGGTTTTTTTGGAGTTTTATTCCGTAGGTAGCCGACCGGAGAAGTCTGACAATGGAGAAGGAAATGTTGAAGTAAAAGGGTGAGGAGAAAAGGCGGCGAGGGAAACGGGGATGCCAGTGAGAAAAATTAATAATAAATAGCAACTTTGGTTTTAAGAGTTTCTTGCCCACAGAATCCAATATCCACTGTAATGAAATTCCTGTCCAAAATTAATTTAACCAATGGTGTTTCTTTCACCCAAATTTGCTAATCTTTTCTTTCTTATTCAAACCACAACTCAAAATTCCAACTCACTGCCATCGAGTTAATTCCAACTCCTAGCGACCCCAGAGTAGAATTGCCCTGTGGGTTTCTGAGACTGTAACTCTTTTTTTTTTTTTTGAGACTGTAACTCTTTATGGGAGTAGAAAACCTCATCTTTCTCCCTCAGAGCAGCTGGTGGTTTTGAACTGCTGACTTTGCAGTTAGTAGCCCAAGGCATACTCATTTTAAAAGACATAGTTTTGTGGAGGGACAAAGACCACTTTGTGGCCTAATATCAGTTGATCTAAGTCATAGAGAAAGAGTCCCGGTGTTGTGGTTACGTGTTTGGGCTGCGATCCACATGGTTGGTAGTTCAAAACCACCAGCAGCTTTGGGTGAGGACAGGGCTTTGTACTCCTGTAAACAGTTAGGGTCTGAGAAACCCACACAGGGTCTCTACGAGTCGAGTCAGTATTGACGTATTGACTTGATGGCAGTGAACTGGAAATCATAGAGGGAAGGCAAAGGTCAATCAATCACATTAAGATTCGCCAATGGTTGCTCTTCTCTGATGTATTTTAATGCAAATAACACATCCATTTTATCGTCCTTTGCAAACTGTGTAACCCCTTTGCATCTTAAGTTTCTTATGTACACCATATATATGTGTGTGTTGCTCATGTGAGTTATTTGCAAAAAAAAAAAAAGTGTCTATTTCACCCCCTCTTCTTTTTCATCTTCATCGTACTGAGCTTCTTTTATTTTTTCCTGCAATTAAAATGGCCTCCCGATGCACATAGGGTAAGAAAGAAACAAACAGTAAGTAGGTTTAACAGCAGGCTTGGGGTGTTGACGGTTGCACTTGACCCTGGGTTGGTAGCAAGGGAGCCCTGGAAAAACCTACAGGGTTTTGGGGAAAAGGTCTCTCTGACTTTGGCCACCAGGGAGGGGTCTGAGGCCTCCCCCTCCCAGTCCTAGAAGGTAGCTAAACAATTCTAAATGCCCAACGATCTCAAGACAGGTGCTAGCACATTCGACAGTGTGGAGGGCTCTGAATGCTCTCAGTAGTACTTGGGGCGCACAGGCAGTGTGGGGCCACTGCTCATCTTGTCTGACTCCTCCTGGACCATCCCGGGCCTTCAAGAGTTGGCAGAAGCAAGATGACTAGACCGGAGGCCTCGCAGAACCTCCTGGGCAGGTGGGCCCGGAGGTAAGGTGGCAACAACACACGGTCCAGACGGAAAGTTTGTTTCTCCACTCTTTATTAAAGCTAGTCCTCCTGCTCGTGGTGCCAGGGCAGAGCAGCTGGGCCCACGCGGGTTCGTGGAGGGCATACACTCCAGGCTGCTGGGAGGGATGAAAGCAGGGCCAGGCCTGAGGTCCCCATGCCCCTGGCCCACCTTCCGCATGGCCCTGGCTGAGGCGTCTGTCCCACTGGCAGAAGCAGGTCTCAGCACAAGAGCAAGGTGTGGCCCCTGAGGCAGAAAGGGCACTCACTGCCCACCGCTTCCTTGGCCCCTGCCCTCTTTGCCACCCACCCACACTGCAATCTCACCCAGCCCGGCTATCCTTACCACCACCACCCAGGCCCACTCCCACCCACCACTACCGAGCCTCCTCCCCGGCCCCAGCCCCTGCAGCCTGGCTGCTGCCTCTGCCCCCAGGTCCTGTCTACACTAAACGGAAGGAACTGTCTAACAGGGAATGGCCCTGCTCCAGCTGTGTTCTACCCCTCCAAAGCTTGGAGGGAGGGGTCTGGTGGGGCATCCAGCTCCTGGGATGTCCCACATAGCTGGAGGTTCCGTTTGGTTATGGCCCATGGGCTCGGGCCACACCAGGAGGTATAAGCCGCCTGGCGGCTCGGTCCTCTACTTGTAAGATTGGCATCTAAACAGGAGCACCAGGAAAGCAGAGTGCAGGGCACCTGCCGAGGACGTGGGACCCTAATTATGGGGAGTGGGTAAAGATGAGGTGACCCGCCTCACCTCTTTCTGCAGGAGTCACCCCAGGATCAGCATCTGGCTGACCCCAGGGCCCAAGTGGCTGCGTGAGGTGTGACCGACTCCCCTGCAGTAGCTGCACCCCATCTACCTGGGCCCACCAATGTGGTTTCTGGCATGTGCTCCTCCCACCAGACTGAAATAGAAGACTCCCAGTGGACAGTGACCATAAAAACTCGCCTAGCCCCGCCTCTGCGCTCCCCCACTAGGGGGAAGCATGCGCCGTGGGGACCTGCTGGGCTTCCGCCAGCCCTGCGGTTCAAAACGTTTCCCCATGCCCTCAAATGACCATCATCCAAAGCCACCGGGGCCCCAGATGTCGGCTCTGCCCTCAACCACCCTATAGTGCCCTCCACGCAAGGGTGTTCCTCCCCCGCTGGAAAGCCCGTTAAGTCACCTGGCTGCCCACTCCGATGGGGTAAAAAGACCACCGCCCACCATGCCCTCTGAGGCCCTTGGCACAGCCATAGGAAGGTCACCCCCTTGCCCTTCCCTCCTGCGCCCACTGCTCCTCTCTCCTGGAGCCCCGCCTTGCCGCTGTGCCACCTCAGGAGCCCCAGCCTTTTCGGGGACCAAGGCGGTATTAAGCCCAAGGCTGTAGAGTGGGGGCCGTGGGGAAGGCACCCAGGACTGGGCCCTCGGAGCCCTCGCCCTGCGGGTGTACCCGGTCGGCCTGCAGCCCCCTCATAGGGTGGTCTCTTCATAAGCGTCCGAGGGCCCGGGGAAGGTGGCCGGCGGCTCAGAGCCGAAGCTAGTGCCGCCCGCGAAGTCCCGCAAGGCGCCCCCACGCTCCCCGGTGCCCGTGCTGGGCCCCGCCGGCCCGGGTCCGAGGCCCTTGGCACGCACCTCGGCCTTGGGTGCGGGCGGCTGGCCCGAGGTGCCGATCACACCGCGATGCGTCTTCATGTGTGTGAGCAGGTGCGAGCTCTGCGAGAAGCGGCGGCCGCAGTGGCCGCAGGCGTAGGGCCTCTCGCCGGTGTGCGTGCGCTGGTGTGTGACCAGCACGGAGCGCTGCGAGAAGCGCTTGCCGCACTCGGGGCACGGAAAGGGCCGCTCGCCCGTGTGGCCGCGCCGGTGCTTGGCCAGGTTGGAGCGCTGCGCGAAGCCGCGGCCGCAGTCCGCACAGCGGAAGGGCTTCTCACCAGTGTGCGTGCGGCGGTGCCGCTTGAAGTCCGAGCTGTGGCCGAAGCCCTTACCACAGTCCGGGCAGCGGTGCGGCTTCTCCTCGGCGTGCGCCCACTGGTGCCGGGTCAGCGCCGCGCTCTGCCCGAAGCGCCGGCCGCACTCGCCGCAGGCGTAGGGTCGCTCGCCGGTGTGCGCGCGGCCGTGCGCAGTCAGGTGCGCGCGGCGGCTGAAGCCCGCCCCGCACACCCCGCACACGAAGGGCTTCTCGCCGGTGTGGCCGCGCACGTGCGCCGCCAGGTGCGAGCCGCGGGCAAAGCGCGCGCCGCACTCTGGGCACGGGAAGGGCCGCTCACCCGTGTGCGTGCGCCGGTGGCGCGCCAGGTGAGAGCCGTACACGAAGCTCTTGCCGCAGTCGGCGCAGCGGTGTGGCCGCTCGCCTGCGTGGTAGCGTTGGTGCTTGGCCAGGGCTGCACGGCGCCCAAATGTCTTGCCGCAGTCAGAGCAGATCCACGGGCTTTCGTCCTCCGGCAGAGCGGCCGGCGCAGGTTCGGCCAGGAGCCCCCCGACCGCTGGCCCGAAGGCACGCAGACCACCGCCACCACTCCCTGGGCCACTGCCGCCTCCGAAAGGGTCACAGGCCAACCCCGCGCCTTCCACCAACGACAGTGGGCCACCCAGGGAACCCGGCAGGGCGCGTGCGTCAGCCGGCAGCCTCTCTCTGAAGCCCGGGAGACCCAGCATGGGGAAGCCGTCGGGGTGCAGCCAGGACTTGGGGTGCATGGGGAAGGGGAAGCCGAGCGGGCGGGAGGACGGGCCTTCGCCGTCACCCAGGCCATTCCCCAGCTCCAGGCCCTGCCGCACTGGCTCCGCAACCTCTCTGCGCACGGGGCTAGTCGGTATCTCGGGCGTCTCGCTGTCCTCGTCTCCATCTCTGCTGGCCTCCTTGGCCTCGGGTTCCTCCGGCTCGGGCTCGGGCTCGGGCTCAGGCTCGGGGTCGGGGTCGGGGTCGGGCTCAGGCTCCGGTTCAGGCTCCGCCTCAGGATCCTTTGGTCCCGGTGGCCCGGCTGTGTCACCGTGCTCCGGCCTCGGTTCATCAGCCCCAGGCTCTGTGCAGCCCCCACTGCGCCGGTGGCGCTGGAAGTCCGCGCGGAGACGGAAGGTCTGGCCACAGTCGGAGCAGCAGTGCGGCCGGTCAGCGGTGTGGACGGCCTGGTGGCGTGCCAGCGCCGAGCTCTGGCTGAAGCTGCGGCCACAGTGCGGGCAAGGGTAGGGCCGCTCGCCGGTGTGGGTGCGCTGGTGCGTGACCAGGTAGGAGCGGCGGCCGAAGCCTGCACCGCAGAAGGCGCAGCGGTAAGGCCGCTCGCCTGTGTGGATGCGGCGGTGCGTCACCAGGTGCGACTTGTACACGAAGCGCTTGCCGCAGTCCGGGCACGGGAAGGGCTTCTCGCCGGTGTGCGTGCGCTGGTGGATGGCCAGGTGCGAGCGGTACACGAAGCCCTTGCCGCACTCGTCGCAGCCGAAGGGCTTCACGGCGGCGTGGTAGCGCTGGTGCTTGGCCAGCCGAGAGCGGTGCGGGAACATCTTGCCGCACACGTCACACGTGGCCTCGGTCCCCTCAGGCGGCGCTGCCAGGGCGGCCGGGAAGGCCCAGGGTTCCAGCAGGCTTGCATCCGCCTCCTGGTCCGCCAGGAAGGGCTTCGCCTCAGTTCCATCCGCCAAGATCCTAAGGTCCCCTGAGTCAGGCACCCACCCCTCGAGGGTCTGCACCGAATCAGAGTCATCAGGGCCCCATCTCCCCGGCACATCCCCCACGCCGTAGGCCGCTGACCACATCCCAGGGGGCTCGTTCTCCTCCTCGGCCATCTCCGCCAGAAAGTCCTCGTCGTCGTCCTCCTCCTCGTGGTCCTCCATGTCATCAGTCCAGTACCAGGCGCCTGAGGAGACAAGGGCGGGGCCAGAGAAGAGGTGTGAGGAGTGACGGAGATCCGGGTACTAAGTCCCCCCTGTAGTTAAGCTGAGTGCACCTCCAACTCCCTAGCAGGCTAGTAAGCCACCTGAAGTGGCTTCTCCTTGTGGGCTCCACATATGAGCCCCCCAGGCCCCTCCTCACCCAGCACCAGGTTTGTGCAACCAGGGCTCTCCCAATCGGGGAGATGGTACACCCCAAGGGTGGGGATCTTACCGCTAGACCAGCAGTTCTCAACCTGTGGGTGGCAACCCCTTTGAGAGTCAAACGACCCTTTCACAGGGGTCGCCCAATTCATAACAGTAGCAAGACTGGTTATGAAGTAGCAACAGAAATAATTTTATTGGGGGGGGGGGGGCACCACAACAGGAAGAACTGTATGAAAGGGTCAAAGTATTAGGAAGGTTGAGAACCACTGCTCTACACGCTGAGAAGGGTCAGCAGTTCAAAACCACCAGCTGCTCCCCCAGAGAGAGAAGAGGGTTTCTACTGCAGTAAAAACTGACGGGCAGAAACCCAGCAGGGCAGTTCTACCCTGTACTAGAGGGTCGCTGTGAAGCAGAATTGCCTCCAAGACAATGAATTTGTTGTTTTTGTGTTTTTAACAACGCTCACACCGGGAGCCCTGGTGGTACAAGTGCTCCAGGCGCTTGGCTGCTAACTGAAAGGTCAGCAGTTCAAGTCCATTGGCGGGCCTGTAGGAGGAACTGCCTGGCGACCCGCTTCTGTACAGACAACAGCCTGGACAACCCTATGGGACAGAATTCCCCGGATGTGGGGCGGCTGTGAGTTGGAATGGACTCAGAGTCCTGGTGGGGCCGCCGTGAAGTAGCTGGGTGCTAATCAAGAGCTCGGTGGCTTCTGTCTACCCAGAGGAGCTCAGAAGAAAGGCCTGGTGACATACTTGGTCCAACTCGACCACCAAAAACCATATGAGGCAGAATTTGAGTCGACTCTAGGATACTCGGTTCTTTCTGTAAAGTTCCCTGGTGCTCCTCAGGGAGCCCTGGTGGCAAGCGGGTTCTGCACTGGGCTGCTAACCACAAGGTAGGCATTTCGAAACCATCAACTGCTCTGAGGGAGAACAGTGAGGCGTTCTGCTCCCATAAAGATGGACAGCCCCGGAAACCCACAGGGGCAGTTCAACTCTGTCCTGTAGGGTCCCCATGAGTCAGAACTGACTCAGTGGCAGAGCGTTTTACTGCACCTCCGAGGGGGGGGCCGTGAGACCCCCAACGAGACGAGTGACACAGCGGCTGGAACACTGGGCTCACGCATGCCACGAAACAACAGTGAGGCTGGCACAGGACTGGGCAGTGTCACCTACTGTATGTGGAGCCACTGTGAGTCAGCACCTCACACCAACAGACAAAGCACTTTACAAGGAGTCCTAGTGGTGCAACAGTTAAGTGCTCCACCGAAAGGTTGGCGGTTCAAACCGCCTGTGGCTCGGTGGGAGGAAGGTCCTGCCAGCTGTTCTTATGAAAATTACAGGTTGCAGAACCCTGGGAGGTGGGGTAGGGGTGGGTGTGGGGGTGAGTCCTGCCCTGTCTTACACAGGCAGGAATGATTCCTATAGGAATTAGCTCAACGGCACACAAGAACTTTCCAGTCCCGGGGCCTCCGTGGTGCTAGGAGCAGGGGTCCTAAACCAAGTCACAGAGGCAGACGTTTCAGTGGGCAGTGAGCTTGGCTTCCAGGGAAAGCCTGTGGCAACCCCAGATCATGGCCCTGTTATGATGAGCAGTAGTGTGCACCTCTCTGCTGAGGCTCACCTGTGTACACGCCGGTAACGATATCTCCCTCTTCTGGCCGGGGACTGTCCGGGACCCACGGCTCTTCCCCTTGTTCCAGGCGGGAGATCAGATCCGGCTTGGGGACAGGGTACCCTGCTCCAGAAGAACACAGCTGGAAGTTCAGCACTCGCCACCCTCCCCCACAAATCAGCTTCCACATCCTCCTGGTCCTCTCCCTGCCCCTCCAGGAAAGCCCACCTTCTCTCCTCTTTCAGTGCTGACCAGCATGTTCCTGGGCTTCCCTGGTGGGGACGGGGCTGGCTCTAACTGTGCCCACCCCAAGGGCTGGGGGCCCGAAGCCCCCCTCTCCCACAGCCATGCCCGGCAGCCCTGTGAGCAGGGGGCCTCCCTACCCAGTGACACCAGGAGGCCATAGTTCTCCTGCATGACGTCCCTGTAGAGGTCCCGCTGGCCCTTCTCCAGCCTGTCCCACTCCTCCAGTGAGAAGTATACAGCCACGTCCTCAAAGGTCACCAGCCCCTGAAACAGAGCCCAGGAGACTGCCCTTGGTGGCCCCACGAGGTGCACAGAGCAGCACTGTGGGCCCACCTCCCGGGGGACACCCCAACCACCCATTGAGGTTCTTGGGCCTCCCCTCCAGCCCAGCTCCAAGGAACTCGGGCTCTGGGAGGTGACAGCACAGCCTGGCCATCATGCTGAGGCCTGGGGACGACAGCACCAGAGGGTCCCGGCCTGCAGTGGGGCCTCCCCTGTCCTCCTGCTCCAGCCGGGATGAAGCACATGCTGTGGTCACGTGGGCCGAATGACGGCCCACCCATGGGGTGGACAAGTAGTGCTGACTAAGCCAAGGGTGGGCTCTGGTGGGCAGCCCCTCTGCGGGTGAGGGAAGCCATCCTGGGCCGGTGGGGAACCAGCCCAAACCGCAGGCCAGGGCCAGGTCCTGGGAAGGTAGAGGGGACAGCCCATTGCTACAGGGCTCCAGCCCCCAGCAGTCTGTGCTGCTGGATGGACCCCCGGGGCAGCAAAGGAAGGGCCACCCAGGAACCCTGCCCACCGAGAGGGAGACACTCACCTGGGACCCAGCTATTAGGAAATCATTCTCAGCCTCTTCCTCCTCGTCTTCTTCCTCTTCCTCATCGGCTTCTTCCTCTTCCTCCTCCTCCTCCTCCTCTGCCGCCAGAGCCTCATCATCCTCAGAAAGGGCTGGGGCCCGGGGAGTTGGAAGGGCTAAGGGGAGAAGAGAGGTCTCTTAGGACCCCTCTGGCATCTGGCCTCCCACCCTGCCTGTCTGGAAGCTCCAGACTGCTCCCTGACCCCACACCAGGCCCTGAGCTCAGGCCCCAGGGTCTTACCCTTTTCTTGAAGGCCTGAGGGCTGGGCTTTCCCGCCTCTGCTCAGCGGCTCCTGGGGTCCTGCCACTGGGCTCTGCACCTCGACCACCACTTCTTCCACCTCTGCCTCTTCCTCTTCTTCCTCTTCTACCACTATTTCTTCTTCCTCCTCCTCTTCCTCCTCTTCCTCCTCTTCCTCATCCACCTCCTCTGCCTGGTCAGAGTGGCATTCAACCACATTCTCCGCCCTTTCCAGCTGGCCGGCCGGAGAGTCAGGTGTTGTGTGCAGGGCTGCCATTGTGTGAGTCTGGAACAGAGAGGCACTGGGTGTCACCCCACACATAGGGGGGCCTCCTCGGAGGGCCTGTAAGTTTGACTCCCATTAGGGTTAGCCAGGCCCAACCCCCATGCCTGACTCCTGCTCCCTTCCAACAAGCCCATGCCAGGGGGGCCTGAAGCACTTTCTCGGGAGGTCAGGATCATCCACCGAGGTCTTTCTCACCATGCCCTCCCAGATAGCATCGGGTCCCTGCAACATACCTGAGTGCTTCTGGGAGTGAGGCTGGCCTGTGAGGAGCGCCCCTGCACTGGGCAGACGCTGACCGGGCATCCACAAGCTGAAGCAGTGGCAGGCACACTAGGTGGGGACAGGACAGGACAGGACAGGTGTCCCAGTTTCTTCAGGTCAAAGATCAGCCCAGGGTTCTTAAGGGCAGCTGCCGGACACTAACGTCAGCAAGTCAGGCTCCTCCCTGCAAGACCCAGGGGAGGGAAGACAGCAGGTAAGTGAATTTGCTTCCAAGATCCCTCATGAGCCTCCAAAGAGATGCTGGCAGACTGCAGACATAGGAACACTGCCCCACCCCCCACCCCCCAGGCCTGCCCCTCGCCAGTGCCTGTAGCACATCTGAAAGCAAGGCAGGGCCACAGTTGGGCTGTGCTCTGCAAAGTCTTCAGTTCAAAACCAGCAGCCGTTCCCCAAGAGAAAGACGGGGCTTTCTACTCCCGTAAAGGGTTAGAGTCTCACAGTTTCTGTGATTCCTTAAATGTAAGCACGCCCCTCACCAAGCACCTGCCCCTCCTTCTGGTGTCACTCTGACAGTGTCAATGGGTACAATCTGCACACCCCACGCCCCCAGGGCCCACAAGTGTTATCAGTGCCTCCGAGACCAAACCCACGTCCAGGGCAGGACACACAGGCACCCAGAAACCACCCATCCCCATCCGCACCCTCCGCCCCTCCTCACTGGCTTCAACCCCCACCCTAAATTCAGAGCCACTGAACCCAAAGGTCAGCCCAGACTATCCAGAAGCTCCCATTGGTCTCCGGGTGTGCAAAGGCGCCTGAAGTGTAGGTATGTTGCCTCCGGGAGGGCGTGGCCCTGCCTAGTGCCCAGATACCGACACCAGCCAAGGTTTCCTAACTATCACCCACCTGGTACCCAGAGGAGTGTCTTTCCCTGGCTGAGCCTCAGGCTTCAGCCTTGACTGAGGCCAGACACCCTGCCAAATCAAGCAATGCCATCTCCTCTCTAGCCACCTAGGGTAGCCACTTCCGACTCCCACTAGCCCCCAGGACACAACAAAGGAAGAAAGGGCCACAGCTTTGTAATAAAGTAACCCCAAGCTCAGGGCCAAGCAGCTCCTCTCCCGGAAGCTCACTTAGGCTCTCTTCTCTGCTGATAACCCCCCTAAGGCCAGACAGAGTCCCCATTTACCCAGTGTCCCTGGATCCTTCCCTCTAGCTCTCACCCATTGTTTCACAAAAACCCAAACACCCAGTCTGTTGCCATTGAGTTGATTCCAACTTCCAGCGGGCCCTAGGGGGCAGAGAAGAACTGCCTCCTAAGGTTTCCAGGGCCACCCTCGACACACAGGCGCCCTGCTGCAGCAATGGGGAAGCCCTTGACTGTGAATTGAAAGCCTGGTGGAACGACCCCACCCTGGCCTTCGGAGGGAGAGAGATGTGGCAGTCGGCTTTCACCCAGATTCCAAAAAACTCACTGGCCTCAAGCTGATACTGACTCAGAGAGACCCTCTAGGACCGGGTGGAACTGCCCCCCGTAAGTTTCCACGGCTGTAACTCTCAATGGGACTAGAAAGCCCCATTTTTCTCCTGAGGAGCAGGCTGGTTTCTAACCTCAAAACCACTCCACCACCAGGGCACCTCTCCTAAAGATTACAACCTTGGGATGACTCTGGCCGTCCTACCCTGTCCTACAGGGCTGCTCCGAGTGGAGATGTGTGGGGAACAGAAGGATTTCTCTTAAGTTGTCTCCCCAAAATATATGCCAGATTTAGCTTGAAAATAATTGTTCACTAGGCAGCAAAAGTAGTTCAGAGGTTATTCTCCCCAACATCGGCCATCTAGAGCGGCCAGACTGTAGGTCTGACTCACCCCAAATAGGGCCCATTCCTTTCTGTTATTGTTCCCTCGAAGCAGTGCCCATAGGCAAGCCCGGGACCACTCTAAGATGACTAAGCTTAGGCTACTATAGCACATTCACCCCTAGGTCATCCCCCTCCTATTGCTTGTATTGCCTATGTTACAACCCCTCTCTATGAAGTAGGGTGTTATCTGCTATCAGGGGCTTGCATGTCACCCAGGATAGTAATTGCCTGCTTTATTGTATGAGACACCAGAATGATCAAACCTGTTCAAGGATGAATTGTATTGCCCCTCTCTGTGATGCATGATGCTGTGATGTATCCCCCTAAAGTAATATGATGCATGGTTAGCAATAAATAAGGAGAGCTGCTTCCCAAGGGGGGCGGCTCCCAAGAGGTGGCTGGCTGATGGCGGCTGGCCGAGGGTGGCTGGCAGAGGGCGGCTGCTCCCATGAGGGTGGTGGATGAGAGGGCAGCTCCCGCGAGGGAGGCGGCTCCTGCTCTGGCAGCCGGGTTCCCCCCACGAGGACCACCAAGTGGGGCGGAGGTGAGCAATGTTACCATGTAATATGTCTGACTGTACTATTGTATTATCTCTCATGCTCTCGATGACTTTAATATAATATTTATATATCTCAACCGTACAATTGTGCATTACTGAATCCGAGTAGTAGTAATATTAGTAGCAGCGGGTGGGGGCTGGCCCTTCATCCCCCAGCTACAATTTTAATTTAATACTACAGAGATGGACTTGCTGGCAGTGGGCTTTGATTTTGGTCCGGAGAAATCTTTATGGAAGCAGACTGACTCGTCCTTCCACCAGGGAGCAGCTGGAGGGTTCGAACTGCTGACCTCTCTGTTAGCAGCGGGGTGCTTAACTACTGTGTCACCAGGACACCTTTGTTGTCTTGTTTTGGACACATGGATCTGTCTTCTGCTGCCACTCCCCGCAGGAAGACAGAGGTCCCCTCCCCAGGCAGACAGCAAACACACTGTCATTGGAGAAACCATTAAGGGCTGGGGTCCTGTTACAGAGAAGAGATTTTGGGCATTTTGGCCCTTCTTCTGGCATCCCTGAACCAGAGAGCCTGGCGGTGTGATGGATTACAAGTTGGACTGCTAACCACAAGGTCAGCAGTTCAAAACTACCAGCCTCTGAGGGGTGGCTCTCTTACTCCTGTGAAGAATTACAGTCTTGGAAACCTACAGGGCCTTCCATCCCGCCCTACGGAGTCACGAGGAGTTAAGAGTTGACTTGATAGCAGTGAGTTTGTCTTTTTGTCGCATTCTCAAAGGGCCCGGTCCCCGAGGAATAGGTAGGTGCTGGGCGACTAACTGAAAGTTCAGCAGTTCCAACCCACAAGCCACTTAAAGGAGAAAAGTGGGGCTGGCTGCTCCGGTAAAGATTTGGTCTCCAAACCCGACCGCTTAGAGTCAGAATTGACTCAAGGGCAATGGGTGAGTTTTTGCCTGCATCCCAAATTTGTCCCGGTGGCTCCATGGGTTAAGCACATGGCTGTTAATGCAGAGGCCAGCAGTTCCAACCCATCAGTGAGGGAGAAAGTTGAAGCAGTCTGCTTGGTAAAGATGTACAGCCTCGGCACCCCTCAGGGCAGCTCTGCTCTGAGTTGCTATGGGGCCACTGAGAGTTGGAAGCAACTTGAAGTGGTAGCAGGATGGGGCGGGTCTTCCAGTCACATCCCCAGGGACTGGGGTTTCTCCAGTGACCAAGTGTGGGTAACACAATCCCCCCACCCCAGACTCACATGTTCCCTCTTCTCTCCAGTCCCATCAGCTCACCCAGAATGCACCCCACTCCCTTCTCTAGTCAGAAGGCAGCAGGGGTCAGGCAAACTGCTCCATCAACATAAACCTCAGCTGGTCAGGCCCTCCCGATCCCTGGGGCCTGCACCTCAGGCGGCAGTGCTGCAGATGCTTACAACTGGGGTGGCCGCATGCCCCAGAGGGGAGACGGGAGGAAGGCAAGGACTGAACCAAGTGGCAAGTTTGAAAACTGAGAAACTCCACCAAAGTTCCAAGCACTGCAGGCAGGGAGCTGGCAGAGGTGTATGGGGAGCCCACGGCCCTGGACTTTCCCCCCC